TCACACAGCCTTCTCTTCTGTGTGTGTGTGTATTCTTCTTTGCTGTCTCGTATAAGGGGACTTGTTATTAGATTTAGAGTCTACCCTGAATTCAGAATGATCTTATTCCTAGATCTTTAATTATATCTGCAAATACTTTATTTTCAAATAAGGTCACATTCAAAGGTACTAGGGTTAAGCACTTGGACCTATCTTTTAGGGTACACTGTTCAACTCAATGTGTCTCTACCTTTCTTTAATCTGTATATTTATTGTTTTAATAAATTAGGGAAAAATTTTGGCCATTTTTTAAAAATAATTTTTATCTCCTTTTTTCTGTCTTTTCTGTCTGGGATTTCATTTACATACATTTTAGATATTTTCCCACAGATTCCTTGAGACATTACTTATATTTTTTCTCTTAATTTCAGATTTTGCAATTTCTTTCTTTCTTTTTTTTTTTTTTTTTTTTTTTCGATGAAGTCACTCTGTCACCCAGTGTGGAGCGCAGTGCCTTCTTGGCTCACTGCAAACTCTGCCTGCCAGGTTCAAGTGATTCTTCTGCCTCAGCCTCCCAAGTAGCTGGAACTACAGGTACCCACCACAATTCCTGGCTAATTTTTGTATTTTTAGTAGAGATGGGGTTTCACCATATTGGTCAGGCTGGTCTTGAGCTCCTCACCTCAAGAGATCCACCTGCCTTGACCTCCCAAAGTGCCGGGATTACAGGCACAAACCACCACGCCTCGCGCAGATTATACAATTTCTATTGACCTATGAGTTCAGTGACTTCTGTCTCTTTAGTCCAGTATTTTTTTTTACTTTGCATAATTATATATTTCATTTCTAGAATTTATATATGGTCCTTTTCATTAGTTTCTGTTTCTCTGCTGAGATTTTCTATCCATTCATCCATTGCAGATATATTTGCCTTTACATCCTCAAATATAGTTGGCATAGGTGCATTAAACACCACTTTCCCCCCTAATTTCAACAGCGGATGTAATTGAGTTTGGTGTCTTGATTGCCTTTTCTTTTGAGTATGAGTCACCTTTTTCTGTTTATTCTAGGTTAAGTAATGTTGGATTGCATCCTGACATTTGTGAATGATACATTATAGAGACTTTGGATTCTGTTTACAGTCCTCTGAATAGTTTTGAGTTTTATTTTTGGAGGCACTTAATCTGGCTGGACTCAAATCCAAACTTTCTTCTTGGACTTTCTTTTCTGTTAGCTTCTGGGCCAGTAGTCTCTCCTGACTCTATCAAATTTGATGTCAAATGCTGCATGGAAAAATTTAATAGAGTTGATATTTATGTGGTTATTATTCCCCATTAGGGCGACTTTAGTGCAAACTTTTTTTTTTTTTCCTGAAACAGAGTTTTGCTCTGTCCCCCAGGCTGGAGTGCAGTGGTGCAATCTCAGCTCACTGCAACCTCTGCCTCCCAGGTTCAAGTGATTCTCCTGTCTCAGCCTTCCAAGTAGCTGGGACTACAGGTGCGTGCCCCCACGCCCAGCTAATATTTGTATTTTTAGTAGAGATGGGCTTTCACTATGTTGGCCAGGATGGTCTTGATCTCTTGACCTCATGATCCACCCACCTTGGGCTCCCAAAGTGCTGGGATTACAGGTGTGAACCACCATGCCTGACCTAGTATAAACTTTTTGCAGTAAAGTGAATGATAGGGAAGAAAGTTTAGGTAGTGCTAGAAATGCTTTCCTAGAGTAAAAATAGGACTATCTAAAAAAGAATCTGTCATAGGTAGTAGTATTTGCTACCAGTTTGAATATGTAGCTTAAGCACCAACTTATTTCTTTTGCAAACCAAGTAGCATGTGTAGATGTTTCTTGGTTCAAGTTTCTTGGTCCCCATTACTATGATTCTCATGCATTGGCCTATGTTATTATCTCTTTTCCTCTAAAACTCTGACTTAAGGAGAAAGCTTTTACTCCCCTTTTTCTTGAAGCTTTTGATATTACAGGTTTCCAGGCCTTTATACTAGAAACTTTTTCTTCATCCGTTTTCTTTTCCTTATCAGAGTTAGACAGTACCACATTGCTTCATTTACTTTGTTTTTCTAATTAAGAGAAAATTTAGTCCCCACAAATTCCCTTTTCTCATTGTTTTAAGACTCTTGTAATATAAAATTCTGGCATGCAAAGAAAAACTTGTTTATTATCTATTCTTAATAGGCTCTTGGCTACCTTCAAATCTCCTTAATTCATAGCACTAATAATTTTATTTCATATTGTAAATGGCCCTTAAAAAGGGATTTTAAACTTTCAAAAAAGTAAAAAAAAATAGTGCTGACTTTATTGTAACTAGTTACATTACCACAGTAAAATTATCAGTACCAGGAAATTTAAAATGATATAATACTCTTAACTAATGTACAGATATTATTAAAATTTTGTCAGCTTTTCTACTAAGGTCCTTTTTCTGGTCCAGAATCCAGTCTAGGATCCACATTGCATTTAGTCATCATGTCTCTCAAGTCTCTTCCAGTCAAGTATCAGTTCTTCAGTCTTTCATAATCTTAACCCTTTTGAAGAAAATCGATCACTTCTTTTGTAAAATATTCTTGAATTTGAGTTCCCCTGATGTTTTCAAATGATTAGATTGAGTTTGTGCATTTTTGGTAAGACAATCATGGAAGTGATATCCTGTGCTCATCTTAGCCCTCTTTATGTGACTCTTTATAACATATTGCCTCTGCGTGCTTTTAGAACCACATTAAACGGTGCTTTAATGTTTGCTTCAAATGTCAAATATAATTTAGAAACTTCAAAAAGAGAAGGAAAACCTATTGTATTTACCAATAGTCATACACTTTTTTGTGTTTGTTCTTCCTGCTTTTATCATTTTCTTTCTGTTTCAGTAACTTAATTTTAGCCATTGTTTCAGGATAGGTATGCTTGTGACAAACTGTTTCTTTGTATTTGAGAATGTTTTGGGTTTTTCTTCCTTTCTCAAGGATATTTTTTCTGGATATTAAAATCTGGGCTGACAGTTCTTTCAACATTTGAATAACATTATGCCAGTTCCTCCAGTTCCTTCTGGCATTTGTAGTTTCTGTTGAGAAACTACTGTTCTTTTACTTCTGTAGGTCAGGAGTTGTTTCTCTCTCACTTCTGTCAAGATTTTTCTTAGCTTTTAATTTTCAGAAGTTTGATTGTGCATCAGTTTGTTTGTTTTTATCCTGTTGGGGCTTACCCAGCCTCCTAAAGGTGTAGGTTTACATTTTACCAAAACTGGGTAAATTTTAAGCCGTTATTTTTTTGGATTTTTTTCAGTCCCACTCATTATCTCTTCTCCTTCTGGGACTCTGATAACACAAGTATGATATTATTGTTTGTTATGATCTCATAGACCCTTGAAGCTCTGTTTTTCTTTTCTCAGTCTTTTTTGGAGTTTATATTTTTCTATCTTCAGGTTCACTGATACTTTCCTCTGTTTTCTCCATTTTGCTATTAAGCCCATCTACTGACTTACCTTGTATTTCTTTGGTGAGACTGTTTTTCTAAATCTGTTTCAAGAGTGTGTGTATAATTGCTTATTTAAACATTTTTATGATGGTTACTTTAAATACTTGTCAGATAAGCCTGTCATCTGTGAAATCTTGTTGGCATCTGATGATTGCCTTTTCTCATTCAAGTTGGGATTATTCTGGTTCTTGGTATAAGGGTGATTTTCTGCTAAATTTTGGACATTTTGAGTACTGTGTTCCTAAAACTTCTGTTTCAATAAGCCTCCTCTGACATTATACCAGTTAGGGAATAGGGGTACTGCCTTGTTACTGGAAGTTCACATTTTCCACGTAGCCTCTGTTGACATCTTGGGAGGGAGAGATATCGCCCTACCTAGGTGGTGGTGAAAGTCCTGATCTTCCACCATGCCTGTCCTGACATGGAGGAGTAGGATGCCCCATCATTGCCAGGTAGAGGTGACTGTCCAGGGATCCAACAGGGATGAAAGTCCTGATTACCCATTTGGCCATCTCTGTCACAACTTTAGCAAGGAAATTGGGTCACCTCATTACAATCTGGCAAGGGTGAAAGTGTAGGCCTCCAAACTGACCTTTGCTATTGGGGATGGAGGTGAATCTGCCATTATTTTCCATGGTGTTTGCCTGGAGTAAGGCAGTTACTGTCTAAAAGATTTCTATCTTGTTGCATTATTTTTCTGGTTTTTTGGTTAGAAAGAGCAGACTTTCTTAGGATTTTTTTTTTTTACCCTCTATACCCATTGCCATTTTCAAGTTGCTGGCTTTTCTAGTACCTAGCTCAGGATATGTGAAGCAAAAAGAAAACCCAGGAATTCACCACTGTATATTATTCCTTGGGTCCCAAAGACCCTAGTTAGCCTTACTCCTTCTCTCCACATTTCTGAATCCTCTTATGCTTATTTTATGTATAACGTCCAGAGCTTTTACTTGTAGTTAAACAGGAAAAATAGGGAAAAATAAATCTATCTCATCTTGTTTGGATGTGGAAATCATAGTCTGTCATTATAAATGTAACTGTATTTTAAATTCAAATATATATTATACATTTTGAAAAATCTATTATTCCTGAGTAGAAAAAAAATCTGTGATTCCATGTTAAAATATTTTTGCAAAAAAAAAATAAATGCTATTATTAATTAAGCCAGTATATAGTGAAATTTGTAAGGTCTTGGCTTTGATACCTATTTTTTGAAGTGATATTCAATACAATAGAGTTCTAATACATTAGAAATAGTAGAGTTTGCCCCATTGAGAGAAGATTTTGTATTAGTTTGATGGTGTACTGACTGCCTATATAGCTGTAATTTTCCTTTAATGTTGAAAAGAATTTTTCTTATTAAAAGGTTAGTTCTTATAAAGCCCTTTTAATGTGGCTTCTTTTGCAGTATGCACTCATGTTTTGACCTGGCCATATACATTCATTTACATATGTAAAAGAGGGAAGTTCCTTTTCTGGTATACATGAAGCTGACTGTTAAAAATCACTTAGTATTGGCAGGGTGTGGTGGCTCACACCTGTAATCCCAGCACTTTGGGAGGCCAAGGCGGGCGGATCACGAGGTCAGAAGTTCAAGACCAGCATGACCAACATGGTGAAACCTTGTCTTATTAAAAAAAAAAAAAAAAAAAAAAAAATCACTTAGCATTTTCTTTTGATGGAAATGTAAAAGTAAAATAATTGTTTGTGTATGTGTGTGTAAGTGTAATTTATGTCCTAATAGGCTGTCTCCCTAGACCTTCCCTGGCATGGTTAACAGAAACTAAAAAGCAAAGAGCAAACATTTAGGATTTTTGTCATGTACATGCTTGTCACTTAGAGTAAGAATGTTATTATACCACTAAACAATGCTGACAACACATCTGTTGCATTTGTTAGACAATTTTTATCCCTGGCTTATACTAAATAATAAATCTTCGTATATCACTGCCAGATTTTGATTATCAAATATAAACATGTAATTTTCAAAGCTTATCTAAAACAGGAATTTTAAAAGAGAGAAAAGATAATTCCAAGTTGTGTCTCAATCTGTGTAAATGATTTCATTCATTCATTTATTCTTGTCCCTTTAGAGGCATTAATGTGACAAGCATATTGCATTTAGAATGAAACAGGTTATGTATCAACTAAAACACTGGTACATGACTGAGCATGTTAAATATATGTTTACATTTTTATTACAAAGGCGTGGATATGGTGTTAGTTATGAAAAGGATTGGGAAAAAAACTGAAGAGACAGTAACAGGTATTCTCATTAATATTACTCTCAATAATTATATATCTTGTCATTTATTTTATTACGTTATGAATGAATGTGTTATAATAAGATTATCTGATATTTATTATTAATGCTAATCATGACCCAGCTACAGTTCTATATACTTTCCATGGATAAACTAATTTTGTTTACTTATTATACATTAATTCATTAGTTACAAATAAAACTAACATAATGTAGATTTGTACTGTTGACTGTAGTTAACTCAAATAAATACAATAATTTACATGTCATCAAGTGATCCAAAAAAGTGATAGTTAAGAAAGTTTTAAAACCAACTTAATCTACTTATTTAGGTCGATGTTTATGAAAGAAGGCTGCTCTGTGTCTTGCCAAGAACATGCTATTTTGTGTTAATAAAGATTTAGGTCTTTTGTACAGCTGGGGTTCAGATGCTGCGAGAATCAAGCATGTTTTGAATCTCCTAGGATTTAGTGTTAAACTGTCACTTTTCAGCTCCTTGCTGCCTGTACTCCTCTGTGCAGGGCTTCTGTGCAGTAGCTACAGTGGAATTGCTACCTACTGCTGTGAAGTCAACTCCATGGCTAATGAATCTGAGATGTACTAATCAAATTATGTTTTTTTAACACAGTGATTATGCTATATATCACATATGACTATACAGGCCTTTATAGTTCCTTAATGATCTAACAAGCAACTTTCTTTCAACATAGGTCTTTTTCATACCCTCCTCATTTCTTCTGTTCCATAGAAGGTAGCCATTAAAAACATCTGACAGACAAGCAGTTAGCCCAGGTCTCTGCTGAGATTAGTGAAATATTTAGTAGTCCTGCAACATCAAGGACTTTTAGCCCTGCAGGAAATAGATAGATTTAACTTCTTTTCAGAGGTGTGGGTAGGAAATTTAAATTTTTATTTGAATGGATCTCTCATATTTTTAAACCAGCATGAAAAAATTCACACACCTAGCTTTTTATGTAATTTATTTTAAGACATTCATTCATTCATTCATTCATTTAAATAAAAACAGAGTCTCATCTCTGTATGTTGCCCAGGCTGGTTGCAAACTCCTGGCTTCAAGCAATTCTCTCACCTTGGCTTCCCAAAGTGGTGGGATTACAAGTGTGAACCACAGTGCCTGGTCTATTTCTTAAAATTCTATGAATATTTGAAGTGATTCTATGAATACTTCCTGATTTTCTCTTCAGAGAAAAAGGAAGTCTTTAGACTGGTAAAGTCGATATCAAAATGCACAAGTACAGTATCTCATCTGGGTTTAGAAGGGTACATATCAAACTAGGAAACTTAGTATAGCATCTCAAGTATAGTATCTCTTCTAGGTTTATGAGATTACCAATCAAACTAGAAAACTTATCCTAAAAATTATAGATTTGCAAATTTCAAAGAAAGTCATCTTATTTAATTGATACATTGAAATGTATAACTCGCCTTTCAGTGGAATAGTTTTTGTAAAGTCATGAGAAACAAAATATCAATTTATAGTAGTTTTGTAAATCCAGAAGAAACTCTACAACATTATAAAAATCAAGATTGGTTGCTCACATGTAAGCATACCAAAGGCAGCAAAATGATATAATTCATAAAAAATAAATTGTTGGCAGAAAAACCAAAATCTGAAGTATTTTTAAAGAAGTTTATTCTGAGCCACTGAGTGACCAGAGCCAGGGAACAGTCTCAAGAGGTCCTGAGAAAGTGTGCCCTAGGCACTGGAGTTACATTTTAGGAAGACAGGAATTATAGGTAAAACCAAATCAATACTTGGAAGGTGTATATTGGTTCAACCTAAGAAGACAGAATGTGTTGAAGCTGTGGAGGGGCTGGGTGGGGAACGGAGGAGGTGGGTGGCTTACACGTCATAGGTAGATTCAAAGATTTTCTGATTGGCAATTGGTTGAAAGAGTTAAGCCTTGTCTAAAGACTTGAATTCTGTTTAGAAATAAATGCTTATATAAAGGGAATGGTTGTGGAGGCCAGGGTTCTTTTTACATAGATGAAGCCTCATAGGTAACAGCCTTCAGAGCGAATAGATGGTAAATGTCTCTTTTCAGACCTTAAAGTTGTTGAACTCTAATTTTTTAAATTTTTTATACTTTTGAGACAGGGTCTCGCTCTGTCACCCAGGCTGGAGTGCAGTGGTGCAGTTATGGCTCACTGCAGCCTCAAACTCCTGGGCACTACACCCAGCTAATAAAAAAAATTTTTTTTTTGTAGAAATAGGGTCTCTCTGTGTTGCCCAGGTTGGTCTCACAAGGGAACCTCCCCCATTGGCCTCTGAAAGCACTGGGATTATAGGTGTGAGCCACCATCCTCAGCCCAGATTCTCATTTAATCTCTTAGACCCAGGAAAGGCCTAAAAAGGGGAGGCTTGGCCACATTGATGGAGATTCTCTACAGATGTGTTTCCCCCACAAGAGACTGCTTTGCAGGGCCATTTAAAAGTATGTCAGATAAATGTAGATAGAGGTGAAATATTTTGATTTCCTTCAGGGTCTGCTATCTGTCGTGTGATGCTATGCCAGAGTTAGTTTGGAACTTAGTATCTTATGGCCACAAAGAATATGTTTCATCAGTCTTATGATCTCTATTTCAGTGTTAATGTTGGTTAGTTGTGCCTAAGATGACTGCACATATCCAACCCCCATTTCTGTCATGGCTGCGAATTCAGTTTTTTGTATTTCTTTGAGGTCCTCTTTGACTCGGGGCAGGGAGGGAGGTCTGTTAAGTCAGTTTGAGGGGCCTTAGGATTTTGTTGTTGGTGTGCAAAACATAGAGTGATTACTGTTTTGTAACTTTCTATAATTACCTTTATTCATTTTTCTTTCATCAAAATCAAGGTCCTGTGACATTGTGTATCGGAGTTTTTAGGGCCACATTTGTAGAAACACACTGCTTTGTTCTAGCAGAAAGAGTTTACCCAGTCAGTTCTGAAGATTTGTGTGTTACAGACACAATGAATGGAATTTTATTGCCCTAATTATTTTAGCATAGTGTTATAAGATTCCTGGTTCCTGCAAATGCTTTGAATCATAAGAAGCATTTTTAGACTTAGAAGGGTGAATTTCAAAATGTCATTCACATATTTTTTTAAATTCACAATTTCATGAACACTGATATTTTTATTTTCAAGAGGAAAAAATGTATGCCTGAATAAAGCCATATTTAACTTGTTTTTATGAGTCATTGGTTGAGGATGTAAAATGTGACTTTTTCTTAAGGTCTTTTATTGGCATATTATTACATTTAATTTGAACTTGGGTCCTCAAGCAATAGTTTCATGTTTTTTCCCACATATTTTTATCTGGTTTACTGAGCAGTCTTAATGCAGTGGGGATATAACACAGAATGATTTTGTATTTCTCCAGTTACCACCTTCCTCTGTGCCATGTCATAGCTCCAATTCATGTTCCTTTGTAATATCTTTGGCAAATCCCATAGTTTTCTGGCTAGCTTTTAGGTTTTAGTTTTTAAAAATCTAATGCATCAGTGTAAACCCCAAGTTGGCATCGTCCATTGCAAGCCATTCATTTTAGCTCAAGAGACTTAGAGCAGGGGGAGTATACATTGATCGCTTTCACTCCTCCTGTCACTCCAGCATCTCTCATTTGTGGTTGGTGGGCTGGGAGCTTAACCTGGCCCTGAGACACCTTCCTGCACACTAGACCTCTATTTCAATGCCTTCCTGCTCTTGAGGCTTACAGGGTGACCAGGGTAGAGGAAGCTGCTACTCATCCTGGTTTCATCCACTTCTGGTGGCCTCCACTGTGCCTTTCCAGGTACACCATGTCCACATCTCTTGAGTCAGTGGCCCCCTCTGGCCCTGAGGGACAACCATGTTTCCTTTGGACTTTCCCAGTGGTCTGTGTTCTGACCTCCTCTGTTGGTGAGTGTTACTTTGGCTGGTCTGAGTAGCCCCTTGGCTTCTGCTGGGATTCTCTCATGCTGTTCAAGGGCCATGGAGATAGGAAGTGATCATATCTTCCTTTATTTTTTTGTTTTTTCTGGTATACTACCTACCTGGGACTCCTTCAGTAAGGTCTCAGATATCTCCAAGCCTAGTTTCTATATTTTCATATGCTTCTAAACTGCCAGGGACATGCAGCAAACTCGGTCAAAATTTCTTTTCAAAGGGGGCCTACAGTTTTGGTTCTCAGCAAGCCTCCCACCAGGGAGTGAAATGTCAGCCTCCCCTTCATGCAGGTATTCCCACTCACTATCAGCTATTCTCTTAGAGCTACCCACTCACTGGAAATACTGTATTTCTCATCAGGCTGACATTCCAGATGATTCCCTCCTGATGCACCTCCCC